ACTTAACAGATCTGCTTCAATATTTTGAGAACCCGGTATATATTTTATTTCAATGTTATACTGGCTTAACCTGACTGACCAATTGAATAGCCGTGTGTTTGGCTTTTTAACGGATTTCAACCATTTAAGTGGGTTATGATCGGTATAAACGATAATTGTTTTATTATAGAGATAATGGTGCCAATACTCAATAGCTAATACTAGTGCCAGACACTCAAGCTCAGTAATATCATAATTTATTTGATAACTTAATAATTTTTTTGAAAAATATCCAATTGGATGTAACTGTCCATCATTTTGTAACTGTTTGAAGACAGCACCGACACCTATTTTAGAGGCATCAGTATATAGTATGCATTCCCTATTTGGGTTATAAATACATAATATAGGGTTAGATATTAAATAATCTTTAATTTTGTTGAAAGCATTTTCGCAATCATTAGACCAATTAAATTGTGTATTTTTCTTTAATAACTTATACATTGGATTTAACATATTGTATGCATTAGGTATGTATTTAAAGTAAAAATTAACTTTACCTAAAAATTTTTGTATTGATTTGACATTTTTAGGGACTGGGAATTGTTTGATAGCTATTGTATTATCATTTAGTGGGCTATACTTATTACACTGTATAATATGACCTAAAAATTTTACAGTTTGTTTAGCAAAATTACATTTTGATAATTTTAATTTTATATTTTCTAATCGCAATGAGTTTAACACTAATTCAATGTGTTTTATGTGTTCATTGTATGTTTTGCTAAATATTAATATATCATCTAAATAATTTTTGCATATTTTTTGCAAATTATGTTTATTTATTATAGTTTGTATAGCTCTTTGAAAAATTGATGGACTATTTCTATAGCCAAATGGCATTACTAGCCATTCTAAGTGATTATTTTTTGTAACAATAGCTGTCTTATATACATCATTTGGATGTACTCTTATATGCCAATAACCTGAAGTAATATCTAGTGTTGTAAAATRTACGCAATCAAGCAAATTATCAATTATATCACTAAATAAAGGAAATGGGAAATTATCAGGTACAGTAATTAGATTCAGTTTCCGGTAATCACAACATAGCCTACATCGTGTCCCCTCATCTTTTTTATCAGCTAAGGTCACGGGAAAAGCATAGGGACTAAGGGAACGCCTAATCATACCTTTTTCTACCAACATCTCTAATTGTTGATCAATTGTTTGCTGATCGGTATCTGAGCACCGATAGGGTCTTAAATTAATTGGCATATTGTTTGTTAGGTTTAGTGTACAGTATTCAATATCTATACATCCTATGTCATACTTATCCTTAGAAAACATATTACTGTATTTGTTAAGTAAATTATTTAATTTAATATCATATTCATTATTTATGTCATATATATTTGTCATTTTATATTCATTTATATTTATTGACTTTTTTAATTCATTTGTTTCATTGAAACAGTATTTACTTAACTCTAAGTTCATATAATTTGAAACTATTTGTTCACATTTATTATCATTAATTACTTGAAATATTTGAAAATTTTCATTCATTTTTAGCTTAAATATTTTAATAATATCTAATCCTAATAATAGATTATAATTAGCATTGCTTATGACATATAATTTTATTTTATGCGTTTGAGAACCTATGGTGAGGTATACTAGTGAGAGACCTAAACATGTATTTGTATTACTAATAGTATTAAAATTAGTATATGTTTTACTAATATTTATATTTAATTGTTTGCATATTTTATTATTAATTATTGATATGTTTGCCCCTGGATCAAATAGTGCATAAATTATTTGATTATTAAGTATAGTGTATATGTATATCAGGGGAACATATTTAGATCTCACTATTAGTTTAAATCGATATCATTGATATCGTTTTCAGACTGTGCCGACTGTACTGTATTATTATCAATAGTATTGATTGCTTTAGTATTACTATGTGATTGACTGTTATCTCTCTTAAACTTATTGTTTCGACAATCTCTGGCCCAATGATATCGGCCGTTGAAACCTATTTTCTCACATATCATGCAAGGGTTGGGAGGCTTTGATTTATTAAACTTAAAGTTAGGTTTRGCCTGAGTTTTRTTACTAAAATTTGTATTAGTTTTGAAAGTTTGAAATCTCTTTAGATTGTTTTCAGCAGATTTTGCTATATTATAAAACTCACAGAAAGTTTTCGGTTTAACRGCAATGAAATTGTCAATCATTTTTGGATGCAAATTATTGATTAATAGAGGTATCATTTGTTGCTCAGTTAGTTTCGCTAATAAACCTAATCGTCTTTTACTCTCAAAATATTCTTTAACRCCAATTTTAATATCATATTTAATGTTTATAAACTCAATGATTGGATCTACTGTTTCAACGCCAAATCGGTTAATTAGTTTGTGTTTAATGTCCAAATAGTTATCATTACAATAATTTTCAATATACCAATTTAATGCATCATCCATTAAATAGTTACCTAACATAACTGCTTTCACACTATCAGACCATTTATAATAATTAGATATAATCTCATATCTCTTTAACCAGTTTTCAATAGAAACCTTATCGCTAGAGCCGCGAAAAATCTGTAACTTAGGCTTACTGTTAGAAACAACAATTTGTTTGTCGGATGAGATGTCTTCAGTTTCTGAGTCCGTCGATTGGTTTGATGAGATCAACACTTGATTTGGTGACGGCATCACTGGATTGGGTGGTATTTCGATCTCCGGTTCCGATTGTAGTACTGGTGGTTGAGATGAAACTGACTGTCGGCGTTGCCGTCGCTGACGTCTCGTAGGCATTGTTTGGTTGTATGGATGCGTCCAACAGTTCCTCTTTTGATTGATTAGTTTGATGAGTGATGAGAGCGTCGATACCTCTTTCAGCAGCTTCTATGCCCACTTCGGTAGCCACAACCGGGAGCACAACTTTTTTGATTGTTTTGAAGACAAAAGTGAGAAGTCGACCACAGATGACGGTGCCGTTCAGTACACAGAGCACAACACAGATAATTAAAAGTTTTTTATATAATAACATAAAGTATATGTTTTGGAGGATCACTAATCCTGCCGACTTGTAGGATATTTTTTGGATTTAAAAAAACTATTATTATTTAATATAATATTTTAAATTTATTAAAACTAGTTAAATTAATTGGCAGTCGTGTTGTTGWTTTTATGGAAATATAACTTTATTTAAATTCATTGAAAAATACAGTATTAATATTATTATAGTATAAAGTTTTAGCACTATTATACTGTATGTGCTCCTCATATGACACCGTGAGGTATGTCCAGTGAGTCTCCCTATTTATGGTGGGACTCAAGGATACCTACATTACTGGTGACCCATATTTAGGATACAAAATTCAAGTGAAATATAATAATTAAAATATTTGAAAAGTTGAGATAATGTTAAATATATTGTAAATATTGAAAGTGAAGTTATATTTAAATTTTAGTACTTTTATCGGTACTTTTGTATCAATTATCAAATATGTATTTTCATTGTTTGCGTATGGATTGACATTAAGTTTATTTATTGTGTTTAACAATTGATTTTATATTTAGTGTATAATTATTGATAAAATTAAATGAAAACCCTTTTAACATAGGTATTGAAATATGTAAAGTGTAATAAAATACAGTATAAATATATTTACTGTAAATTTTCTATTATAAATGTTTATAAAAATAAATGTATTAATTGTATGTTTAGTTATAATTTTCGGCATACCTTACATCCCCCTGTTTTATAACTTTGTTTATGGGGTATATAAYCGMAGTTTTGAGATATGAWATATATCTGAAGTTTTACCCTTTTTGTCACACTGTATACGATAGGAAACATTTGATAATTTTTCAAGTATTTTATATGGACCTATCATAATGGGCTCTAATTTACCTCTAGATATAACATTTTTATTTTCAATATAAACTAAATCATTAACATTTAATTCAATGGGTATATGTTTCTTATCGTAATATTTTTTATTCAATTCATGACTTTTAATACTATTATTAAAAGCAATTTCTCTATTATTTTCTAAAGTATTTTTTGTAATATACAATTCATATGGTTTTATCCCAAACATTAGATATTTAGGTGTATATGTAGTTACATTGTGTGGTGTATTATTGTAATCATTTGTTACATCAATCAATAATTTTGGCCAACATTTCTGTGTATTATTATCATTGAATTTACATCTAAGTCTAGTGACAACTGTTTGGACAACACGTTCACACAAACCATTACTTTGGCTACAGTTTGTTGAGATAAACATTATTTTGATATTATTTTTTTCTAAAAACTTTTTAAACTCATTTGATTTGATAGCAGTATATCTATCAGCGAGTATTAGCTTTGGTTTTTCAGTTTTGACTATTAGATTAATTAAATTAATGAAATCTTTTGCACTTTGAGTACGGGAAGCAAATGTCCATAAATAGCGGGTAAAGTGGTCTATAGCTATATGTATGTACTGTTTATGTGAGTTGTAGCCACTTAGGCCACCCTTAGTATCAATTGATATAATTTCAAATGGTTGTGTAGCCGGTCCTAACTGTGACAATGAACCGTATTTTAGTTGTTTAGATAGTTTACTTGTTTGGCATACAATACAACTAACAATGTATTTATGTATTTTATCGCAAAAATTAAATATATATATATATATAGAAAATTGCAAAATCAAGTTAATTATCTTTCAAATATATTTTAACATTCATTATATTATTGACTTAACTATCAAAAAAAAAAAATAAAAAAAAAATTGTTTGTTTAAACAGTTGATTAATATCAATAATAATGATAACTAAATAAATCACTAATTATAATACATTTATATTTTTCATTACAGTATATAATTAGTGTCAAACAATCATATTATTATCATTTTATTTTGTTATACATTATTATAATCAATTGATATCATCATAGAGTTACTAATAATTAATTTTTTTAGTTTAAAAAATTCAGTTTTAACTAAAAAAAAACAACAATATGTCTATCAATAAGTTACTGACTGTCGGTTTGTTAGTTGCCTCCATGACCTACCAGTGCTCGTTGGCCAGTCCCGAATGGATGGCCTTTCACAAGGAAATCAAGGACGGCCTATGCAAACCCGATACTACCGATACGGCTAAAGTCGATCGGGTAGTTGAATGCAAATCAAAACATATGGTCAAAAATGCCGATGAAATGAATGCTAAAGTAAATTAAAAATTACTTAAAAAAAATTTTATTTTATTAAAAAAAAATAATACTTAATTTAAATTAATTATTCAAATAACTTAACTTATTTTTTAAGGATTTTTTTAAAGAAAAAATTAATTAATTAATTAGTATTTATTAAATATAATTTCAATTCAAATTTAGTAGTTATTGTTATACTATATAATTGTTTTGTTTTGTTTAACAAACAAACAAACAAAACAATTAGTTTATTATTTACAAAATTTTTAAATTAATATTTATTAAAAAATTAATTTTTTTTGTTTTAAATTTTTTTTCACATAACTATTATATAATAATAATAGTTTATTTAATAATCATTTAAAGTAGTTATTTAATTAATTAATTATTAAAAGCCTATTATTTGTTTATTATTATTATTATTATTTAAATTAAAATTAATAACTTATTGCTCAGTTAGTTAGCTATCCTATCTATTTTTGATCGCTTATCTATCATATTATTATATGTCTAACTGATCCCTCATTATTATTATTATTATTGATTTTTAATAGCTAACCCCCCCTCCCCCCACCTAAATAGATGGCCGAATTGGATAAGGAGTGTAGTCCGGGATCGGAGGCCGACCTCAAGGCCTATACCAAAGTCGATACGGCCGGTGACCTCAAACGCAAGATGACACTGTCCTCGTGGTGTAGCGAATCGTTTCATAAGTGTATGAAAGATAAATGGGTTAAAAAACATAAAGAATCCGCTGCTTCGGGTACCGGTGCCGGCGATGGTGATGATGCACCCAAAAAATTTGATCAAGCTAAAATAACCGAATTTCAGGTTAGTTAGATTTTTTTTTTAAATTACTACTACTACTACCACACCCCCTATACCTATCATTCAATCGCCCAGTCCCTCCCCTCCCCCATACACACATTAATTATATATATATATATACTGTATATACAGTAGTATATTGTTTATCTAGTATTTTGTGTTTTATTTTTTTTTAATAATTTTTATACCCTAGTAGTAGATTTGATTTTATTATCAAAAATCAATAAAATAAAACACCCCTCCCTATACTTCAATAGCCCAGCCCTTCCCCTCCCCCACAAACACACATTAATTATATATATATATACTGTATATACAGTAATATATTGTTTATCTAGTATTTTTGTTTTATTTTTAAAATTTTTTTTTATATACTAGTAGTAGATTTGATTTTATTATCAAAAATCAATAAAATAAAACACCCCTCCCTATACTTCAATAGCCCAGCCCTTCCCCTCCCCCACAAACACACATTAATTATATATATATATACTGTATATACAGTAGTATATTGTTTATCTAGTATTTTGTGTTTTATTTTTTTTAATAATTTTTATACCCTAGTAGTAGATTTGATTTTATTATCAAAAATCAATAAAATAAAACACCCCTCCCTATACTTCAATCGCCCTCCCTTACCCCAACCATACACACATTTAAATTTAAATCTATATATATATATATACTTTATTATTATTATTATTACACCCACTCACTCACTCAGTCACTCACTATTTTTTATTTTTTAAATGTTTTATTGGATTGATATATAAATTATTACTTTTTTAATAATTTTTTTTAACTTTTTGTTTTGTTTATAGACATGTATAAGAACTGCCATAAAATAAAAGCTAAAAAAATCATTAACTAATTGATTGATTAATTGATTAATTAATTGAATGATTGACTGTCCGCTAAAGTTATCTATTTTTTTTAATATTTTTTATAAATTGCTATAATTTATATAAATTATTTTAAAAATTCATAAAATAAAATATAAAATATTTTTGAAATTACATTTTATAAATAAAACTAAATTCAATGTTAATTGTGATAATTATTCAAAAATTACTTTTTTTCGAAAAAAAAATTAAAAAATAAATAAATTGCATAAAATCTGGTTCAAATAAATTCAATTAATTTATGAAATTAACATTAAAATAAATAAATAAATTTCTTTAATTAATTATTTAATAATTAATAAAATGGTGTATAAAAAATTTAATAAATTATTTTTTTTATTATTTTGTGCTATTATTTAAATTTTAGATTTTTATTATTTTGAAAGCCATGTTAAACACAATAGTTATAATTGTTTTAATTACTATTACACTGAAAACTGTTAGCAATAATACACCAATTGATGGTAAATTATTTAAATATATATATTTATTTAAAAAAATATTAAATTCATAAAATTGTAATTAATAATTTTTTTTAAAAAAAAATTATATAAAATAGATGATAAAACACCTAGTAGATTTAAATTTGCCGAAAATAATATACTACAAGTTGAATTGAATAAGGTTAATTATTTTTTTGATAATAAAATTTTTTAATTAAAATAATAATAATAATTTTTTTTTATAAATATTCAATAAATATTTATTTTATTTTTTTTATTTTATTAATTATTTATAACTATAGTTAGTCGGCAATTGGACATTAAGGGCTACAACAATAATTGAATCGGATATTAAACTAAATAATTTTAAACATTTAAATAATTATCAGCTAGATCAAAATAGTGGCATTAAAGTAACTAAATAGTAAAAAAAAATAATTAATAAAATTATATAAATTTAAAAAAAAAATTATTTATCAATATATATTCAAATTACAGATAACTCTAAACTTTATATGAGTTTATTTTTAATTTATTTATGAGTTTTTATTTTTATTTATTTAATTTATAAGTTTATTATTTTCAAAAAAAATATCATAAAAATAATTATTTTTTTTTTAGTAATTTAACGGAAAATTTAGGTACAGCTATACTAATGCCAGTAGTAGTAAAGGGTAGTCGTGTTTTGAAAACACTAACCGATTTCATACACTTAAAACAATTGAAATATCTATACTATCTATATCTGGACAGTCAGTATCATATAGTACTGGTAGTAGTAGTGCCTAATGGACAGTCAGATGACGGTAATCATACTAATAGATAATAATGTTTATTAAAAAAAATATTTTTGTTTAAAAAAATATAGCATTTTTGAAAGTCTATGCCAGACCTAGGGTTTCATACAATAGGGAACCCATCGATAAAATACTAAACAAAATTCAAGCAAACAATTCAATTGTTAAGCAATTAATTGGAGAATATGTACCTAAACTACAATTTATTGAAAGTCAATAAAATAATAAATAGTTTTTATAACTAATTAATATAACGATAATAATAATAATATCTATAAATAAATTTTTTTTAATTAATTTTCTTGTAAAACACAATATTGTTTCAAATTAATAATAATAATAATAATAATAAATACAATTTAATCATTAAAACATAAAATTAAGTTTTTTATGTTTTATTTAACTATTAATATTAATAATAATAATAATAGTATTGCACAAACTATTGATATTATTAAAAGTAATTTTTTTTTTTTAAATAACTATTATTTTATTGAAAATTAAATCATATGAAATATATATATATAGTTTATATAGTTTATATAAAACAGATTTTTTTTGTGGAAATAATTTTTAATTATCAATATTATATATTTCTATAAAAAAATAAATGGCGTAAATTTAATAATATATTTTCAATAACAAAAAAATATAGTTAAATGAAAATAAAGTTTATTTATTTGGACAACAAATTAGTTGAAAATTTTTTCCAAGTTTTAACTAAATAATAATAATAATAATAATAATAAAATATTAAACTATAGATACATTGCTGCAATCATGAAACAATTACTATTGTTAATTAGTTTAATTAGCATGATGATATTCAATAATTTAGCTGGCACAAATTCAACTAGTACAGGTAATTTATATACAGTATATATAATATTAATATAATTAAATATTTATAGTAATTAATTTATTAAAAAAAATAAATTATTATTTTATTTAACTTAGAATTAACACCAAGCGCATTTAAATTTGCCGAAAATGATATTATAAAAGTCGACTTTAAAAAAGTTTTTATTTAGTTTTTTTTTTAATTTTTAATTTAAAAAATATTTATAAATATATTTTTTTAAAAATTTTTATTACTAATAATACTGTATATTATATATATATATTTAATTAATTAATTTATTTAGTTGGTCGGCAATTGGTCGATAAGGGCATCAAATTTATTGCCAACTAATGTTAAATTTTCGCAAAATGTTTTCGAGGAAATTCCCGGTGGTATTAAAATTACCAAATAGTATGTAATAACATTAAAATTGTATTATTTAAAAAAAATAAATAAATATTTTAAATAATACTTTAAAAACATATTGTAATGAGTAGATTTTATCATTACTGTTATAACTATAATATATCCTATTTCTATACCGTTTCAATATTATTTTAATAGCATTGCCATTTATATCTGGAAAGTGTTGATTATTTAGATGTTTCATGAGAATTTTTGGGGTGAGTTACTCGCTTCACTTTCCATGCAATGATTTCACGTAAACCACTGGAATGGCCGCCACTATTGGCACAGTACTCCTGTAGTGGTTTAGGTTGTCTTAATTGTACATTGGGCACAATATTAGCTTTTACTACACAATTATTAATACAATCTATGTCTGATTGATCGTAAATTAAGACATTACTACTTTGCGGACCAATTATATAAAAGGTATTATCTCTGGTCCTGAGATTATTTAATTCAATTTGACCTTTACTATCAAACGAAACACTATTCAATGTTAAGACAGACTCATTGTTTTGAGAGTTAAGACTCGAAGTCTGTACCACTCGGGTCTGGTCAGAAGCTCTGAGACCAGTAAAAACTATTTTACTAGTTTGGTCACTCACTACACGTGACACAACTATAGTATACTGAAGACAGGACGATACAGTGTTATCAGCATCCATACAATGGCTGGCTAGCCGCAACACTTGCGCTAAAAACAAACAAAAACCGACATTACTCAATGACAACAAATGTCTTGTCGCAATTATAAACTGGTAACTAAAACATAACGATTGACTAACTGGTCGGGCCCTACCAATAATTGCCAACGAGAGAAGCCTCAAAGCCTCCCTCTAACCAAAACATGCAACTCAATACCCAATCTACTAGTAAGACTGAGTCTAATGGTCAGTACCATCACTCGGTACTACCGTCGGTAAAACCGGCGTATAGTCTATTCAAATACCCACTATAGGATAAGTAATGCTATACCCGTTGACCAACCCTGTGGCCAAACTATAAATCAGAGTCCTCTGACTCTGATGACATAACCATGAAACCGTCACAAGCAATCTCAGGGGGAATCTAACCCATCTATGTCTCTCCAGCCGTACCTACCCGGCACTAAATAAAGGCGTTTAAACACTAGTTAAACCCTACCCGACACTCGTCGGTGAAATGTGATATCACCCGAAACCTGTGTTACGGTGACTATCACTGGACTACTAATCTGTACTGTATATCATAACAATAGACAACAAAATTACACTCAACTAACATACATAGACAAGGACTATATTAGACAAAATTGTATGTGTGGTGGCGGCAATGACAAGGCGCTCATCAACTACAGCAAGCGGTGTCGCGTACACAACCGCCGCCGCATCGGTCAACGAATGCATCGCCGGAGAGTCACCGATCACATAAATTAACGTAAAACTATAGAAACACATCATACACTCAAGTACGATAAAGACAATACATGACCGACAGATTGCCGACAGTATTACATAATTATCGTAACATTTCTATTATCTCACATACGGTATTCAGTTAAATCTGGTCAGACATAACTATGTCGTCTCTGGGGTCAATTGACATCACCTATAGGTTTTTGGCCGTGATATTGTAAGAACAGTGCATATGTAACAACAATAAACTATTAGGTGTCCAAATATTTATTTATACCGGGTCAGTCAATCCCGAAGGTGACTATAGACTCATAAAGTTAAGGCAAACCTTAACTATACTCTCGGATCACTATTGAGGAGCGTATGTTAACGGTCTTAAACTCAGTGTCCGTTATCGGCTATTAACACACAATCACGCGATCGGGAGACCGGAACCCTCTTGGGACCACTGGCCTGCCTAGTCAGTCGGTATCGAATAGTAACTATGCATTTCCCAACTAGGTTAGCGAAAGCACATATGTACTCGAGAAATCCACTGCTATGCATTCACACACACATTCACTCAAACAGCCGATAATTACAACAATCAACCAAACTAGTGCTATTGTCACGAAGACAGCAACTATTGGATCACCTAGTAAATTGTATTTTAAGGTCAGACTATTAGTGTTAAATAACACTGAGAACCGACAAAACTACAACTGTTTCACTAAGACGTAGGACTATTGCCGAAAAATCGGGCAGAGCCTTCGGCGGCCTGGTACAATCTCGGGGATGTCGGAGACTTCCATATGACACATATAGTAGTCTATACCAACAATAACTAAGTATAGGTCGAAGGAGGTAAGGGAGGAGGACAGCGTAGCCGTACAGATCTCTCGACACGACAGACCCGTTAGCACACTATCAATGGTAAAGGAATGACGGCAGGACCGTACGAATCCCCCGACACGGCGGATCCGATGGTCAACCATCATAAGGTAGGTTAGGATAAGGTATGGTATCATCATATAACTGGACCGGACCCCCCGACACGGCGGATCCGACCGTTAGCTATTTTCGCGGAAAGGTTCGACAACATGACCGAACAGATCCCCCGACACGGCGGAACCGTCTGGCCAGTCAT